TGCCCTTCCCCTCTTAGTTTTCCACAATTACTGTTTTTTGAACTATGCCCTACTATTCTCAGAGTGTGCTCTTGGGTCTGTGCTCAAAGATCACTCCTGGAGGTGCTGAGAGGCTCACACACAGTGCTGGAGATCAAACCCAGGTCGCCTGCATGCAGAGCAAGCACCTTGTACTACCTTTCTGTACCTCCACATTATTAAATCTTGCATTGATGAGATATAATTGTTATAATTAATTATCCAATGTTGATATATAATTCATCAGCAATACGTAATTAATATTAAAGTCTATATTTTAGTGTTACTTTTTGTGTTGGACAGGTTATGGATTTTGAAACATATCTAATAATATGTATCTATCATTACAGTAGCATTCAGAGTAATTTCTTTCTTCCAGGCCCTAGAGGTGACTGAGCATCATCAGTGTGGCCCCATCCCCCTGCACTTCTCCCCCCAAATAAAATGTGTGCTCATGTAGCAGAAGTGGGGAAGGGTTTCTCTTGAATCGTTTTTTATTTTTTTATTTTTTTTTCCTTTTTGGGTCACATCTGGCAATGCACAGGGGTTACTCCTGGCTCTGCACTCAGGAATTACTCCTGGCGGTGCTCAGGGGACCATATGGGATGCTGGGAATTAAACTTGGGTCGGCTGCATGCAAGGCAAACGCCCTACCCGCTGTGCTATTGCTCCAGCCCCTTGAATCGTTTTTTAAAGAACATAAATCTAACTCATTTGGTCTCAGTCCTTATGACCAATTGCCCCCCAAAGGCCATCCTTCCTAACCTTTGGAGTTAGGATTTCAGTGCGAATTTTGAGAGAAAACGTTGGAATATTGTCCATAGCTATGAAAATTAGGAAGCTGGAAGGTGCTATCTTTAGGTTGAAGGACAAATGGAAGATGATGTTCCTAGAATTCAGGGGCTGTGTCACAGGCAAAATGGAGTCTCAGTGTACATGATCAGGGGGAGCAAAGCAGCAAAGGAGAGGCACCAGGCACCTCCATAGGACTGAGGTAGGGAACAGGAAAGAAATATCTTGACTTTTCTCCTTTTCTCCCACCTTCTAATTTCTTGCCTGTGCTTGCCACTGGGAAAATTCCTGCTGGAATTCAGCTGCCTGCTGAATATAGTCTGAAAGGGCCAGTCTTTACTCCACAGAGCAGAACAAATGCGAAGGAATGGGTATCAGAGTAAAGTAAAGTAAAGGCCCTCCCGTTGATCGTCGATTTGCTCGAGCGGGCCCAGTAACGTCTCCATTGGAGACTTTGTTGTTACTGTGTCTGGCATATCGAATACTCTCGGTAGCTTGCCGGGCTCTCCGAGAGGGGCGGAGGAATCGAACTCGGGTCGGCCATGTTGGCCGCTTGTAAGGCGAACGCCCTACCCGCTGTGCTATCGCTCCAGCCCGGGTATCAGAGTAAAATGGACAAAGATGGACACAGTCATCGGTTTTTCAACTTAAAAAAAAACTTTATTGCGGTATAATTTACATATTTATTTAAAATGTACACTGATAATGTTTTCATAAAATGAATATACTGCCCTCGATAACTACCAGTCAAGATCTAGAACACTTTATTTATTTATTTATTTATTTATTGGCTTTTAGGCCATACCTGGTGGTGCTCAGGGCTTAAGCCTGACTCTGTCTGTGCTCAGGGATCACTCCTGGAGGCTCAGGAGGCCATATGTGATGCCAGGGATTAAACACTGGTCAGCTGCATGCAAAGTAGATGCCCTACTCACTGTACTAGTGCTCTGAACCCCCTGAGCTATAGGACATTTTAATCACTACACAAAATTCTCTTTAACTCCTTGCCATAAATTTCCACATCCAACCTCCAGTCCAAGCAGTCTTTAACTTGTTATACAATTTTATATAAATGGAATCATGCTCTATGTGATTCTTTTACATTCATATACTATGTTATACATGACTTTTTCTCTCAGCATGTGTTTAATATTCATTCTTTGTTATTCTTTTTAGTTTTGGGGCCATACCTGAAGGTGCTCAGGGCTTACTTCGGGGACCATATGTAGAACCAAAGATTAACCCTGGGTCAGTTGAATGCAAGACAAGCACCTTACCTTGCTGTACTATCTCTTCAGCCTAATTCATTTTTGACTAGTATGCCATTGTCTGAATATATTACAATTTGTTTATGTATTTACTTGTTGATGGACAGCTGAGTTATTTTTAAGTTTGAATTATTGTGAATAAAATTTTTGTGAACATTTGCACAGTTTTGTTTGTTTTTTTGTGTGGTGTGTGTGTATATGTGTTTGATGGATATTTTTGTTTTATTTTATTTTATTTTTTGCCTTTTGGGTCACACCCGGCGATGCACAGGGTTTACTCCTGGTCTGCACTCAGGAATTATCCCTGGCAGTGCTCAGGGGACCATATGGCATGCTGGGAATTGAACCCGGGTCAGCCAGGTGCAAGGCAAATGCCCTACCCGCTATGCTATTGCTCCAGCCCCTTGATGGATATTTTTAAATTTCTTGTAGGTAAATAGTTGGGAGAAGAAATTACTGGGTCATAGGGTAAGATACTGCCAAATTCAACAGTTCTTTTTAGCTTTACAAATACCATCCTTATAACAGTGTCCATGAAAGGACATTGTGCATTTCCTCCAAAGAGCGAAGGAGTAGAGAGAGTAAAATTCTTATGAAAAAATTTCAATACCTTTAACACATATGCTTTTTATAGTTCAGTATTTTAATTTATTTATCTTGCAGTAATCACAGTCTCGGAGAGCCCGGCAAGCTACCGAGAGTATTCGATATGCCAGACACAGTAACAACAAAGTCTCCAATGGAGACGTTACTGGGCCCGCTCGAGCAAATCGACGATCAACGGGAGGGCCTTTACCTTTACCTTTACCTTATCTTGCAGTGCTAGAGATGAAACCCAAGGCTCCTATATGTAGGCAAGTGCTTGCTCTACTACAGAGTTATATTTGTGAACCCTACAGTTCAATTTTCTTTTCTTTCTTTCTTTCTTTCTTTCTTTCTTTCTTTCTTTCTTTCTTTCCTTTCTTTCTTTCTTTCTTTGATACACCCGGTGGTGCTCAAAGCTTGCTCCTGGTTCTGCACTCAGAGATTACTCCTGGTGAGCTCAAGGGACCATATGGGGTGCCAGGGATCAAACCTGTGTCAGCCGTGTACAAGGCAAATGCCTTACCTGCTGTACTATTGCTCTGGCCTCCGATGTTTTTAATAGGCAGTAATAAAGGGAATTTTAGAAGTGTATAAAAAGTAAAGCAATGCAAGATAGTGATTAAGAAGACTTCTCGACAATGGCAAAATCATCCTACACAGCTGCTCTGGGATCTCAGCTCTGCTGTCAGCAACCTTCTGGCAAAGCTACTGTCAAATGGTTGCAACAGGATCCATAATGATCTTTTGTGAAGGAATATCTCTATTAACATAAGCAAATACACCTCTCATTTATAGTAATATAGAGGTGTGGGCTTTTTCTTTTACTTTTAGTAGTAATGTTTCTCCAACATATAACACCTCCCTTTGATATGTGGGTTGAGTCATAAATTAATGTCACAAATAAATGTCATCTAGATGAAGGAGGAACTACATTGCAAAGTAGGAAGGTGTAGCTTGATGTGAATTGTTCAGTTGACAGCCATGTACTCTTGAACTAAATGTCATTGTGTCAAATTCTGAGATATTAAACAGTTGCTGGAATGTAAAATTGTGGGCATTTAGGTTTGCAGCTTTAAAGTTTTGTCAATCTTCTCTAGACTTTCTGAGATGGAAATGAACAGGTGGATTGAAAACAAAGACAAATGAGTTTAAAGACTTTCTTGGCATCTCATAGAGAAGTTGCTTTACACTAGTGATGTTTTAAACAAACACATATAAATACATTTGGCTTGTCTGAAAACAGGCTTATTTATTGGGTCTTTCCATTTACCTTTCAAACAAAAATAGTTATAGAGGACTTGTGTATTACTCATTGTATACTTTGTATTATGTATTATTTAATCTAGAGAAAATGGAACTCTGTTTTACATGATACATAATGTACATTAGTGAGCTCAACCCTCTTAATCTTGAAATAACAGTATCAGGTTAGGGATTTAGAATACAGTATTAATAAAAACAGCAGGGAGATTCCTTTTTCTGCCACTAAAACAGACTAGAAATGATATCTTAGATCCTAAATCCAACCGAAAGTTAGAAACAATAAATTGAGAGGATGGAGTTGATAATTTGCGAACGTGTTTTTCAAAGTAGAAAAAGAATCACTGTGTTTCTGCTGAATTATATGTTGCCATGGACATGGGAGTATGTACTAATGATGCTATCATCTATACAGCTGTATAACAACACAGCTTCTCCCTTTCCCACCCCCCTCAGTAAGAGTAGAAAATAATAGGTTTGTGTGTAGTTTGGGAAGAAAATTAGAATCATTTAAAGTCGTTTCAATTTCAATCTAAGAAAGAAAAAAGGCTCAGAGAGATGGGAAAGAAGAGCAAACAAAATGCAGGGAAAAGGGACGTTATATACTAAAGTTTCATATGTATTATGGAGAGACTAAACATGTTGACTTTGCCATGAAAAGAGCTCGACTTAATCATGGTTGCATCATTGTGTGTGACCTTGAACAGAGACAAAATGTCCTTATTTCCTCATCTCTAAAATAGAATCACAAGGCAGTGTTCACGAACTTGAAAACAATTAATAAACTTTTATTCCCTATACAAATAATGTTTTATAGAGAGCATGCATTGTTGAATCTTTAATGGTAGAGATGAGTAAAGGAAAAGGCCTGGAGGTTGCCAGCCTGGGTTCCCATGGCAAAGCATAGTCAATAATTTTGATGCCTTGAAGCAAGTCAAGTACTTCATTTTAACACTTCATCTTATTTCTGAGAAGTAAATACACCACTTCACAGAATCAAGTAAGAGAATGTTATGCAAAGGCCTTCACCAGCTTGATAGGTTTCTGATGCCCTCCCTACCTCCACCTCTCAAATCGATTTATTCCACGAGTGTCATCAACAAAAGGTGTTCACAGTGTGCCATCTTTCAACTGAGAAGGACTGAAAGGCAAGGCAGAAGCATTAGCTAAGAGGTAAATCCAATCCAGGTAGGAAGCAACACCGGTACTTGGAGATGCTTTCGCTCACTCTTACCCTCTTAAGGTGAGGGTATCCCGTACAATAATGACATTCAGAGTTGGAGAGCGGGCGAGTCGAGTGTCCTTTCGACTCTGCAGACTCGACGGGAGGGACCCTGGAAAATCTTAATTAGAACCGGTCTCCATGGCAACTGTCTCTAGGCAGCGTGGGCTGAGCTCTCGGGAGGGCTAGAAGATGGGCCGCCAGTGGACCCCGTGCGCGCGCCCGCCACCAACTTTCCCTCCAGACCCGAGAGGGGCGCGCGGCGCGCTCCGCCCCCGCCTCCGGGCCGCGCACGTCCGCGCTCGGCGGCGCGCACGCCTGCGGGAGCCCTCTCCAGGCAACCCGGTGCTGATCGCTCCAGCCCGTGCGGCCGTTAACCGCCCTTGCGGGAGCCCGAGGCTCGAAAGCAAGCCCCCTCCTCTTCCTGAGCGGCTCCCCACCCCCTTCCAGGTCGGCCCCGGGGCATGAGCAGCGATGGCCGGCTGTAGCCCCGAGGAGAAAACTTACCGGCGCTTCCTGGAGCTATTCCTGGGCGAGTTTCGCGGACCCTGCGGTGGCGGCGAACCCGAGCCGGAACCCGAACCCGAGTCGGAGCCCGAGCCTGAGTCGGAACTGGGAGCCGCTGAGGCGGCTGAGGCTGCTTCGGTCGAGGAACCTGGCGGGGAGGCGGCCCCCGTAACTGCGACGGAGGAAGGGGAGCCCGAGCCGGAGCCCGACCCCGAGCCCGAGGAGGAGGCGGTGGAAGAGGAACCGGCGGCCGCGGCGGCGGCGGAGGGTGAGGAGGAGGAGGAGGAAGAGGAGGAGGTGGTGGTGGTGGAGCAGGAGGAGGTGGAGGCGCCCGCAGCCCCGGGGCAGTCGGCCGTGCCGCCGCCGCCGCCACCGCCGCCGCAGCCCCAGCTGCCGCCGCTGCCTCCGCTCCCGCGGCCGCTGTCGGAGCGCATCACCCGCGAGGAGGTGGAGGGCGAGAGCCTGGACCTGTGCCTGCAGCAGCTCTACAAATAGTTAAGTAGCGGAGCCGGGCTGGGGGTGGGCCCGCCGTCCGCGCCGCGCCGGCCTCGACGCTCTTTTCCTCGGCCGCTCCAGTTGCTCTCTTTTCCGCGCTTCGTTCCCCCACTCCCACGCGTGGCGCGGTGGAAGGCGTCCCCGCCCGCCGCCGGGCCCCCTGCTCGCTGCCCCGCGGCCGCCCACTTCTGGCTCCACTCTGCACACACCCTTTTCCCGCTGGGCGCCTCGGCAGGATCTCGCCCTCCCGCCTTGGGAAGCCCGGTCTTCCCCCGCGCCCGGCTTCCTCCGGGAGCCCCCCGTTTCCCCCCGACTCCCGCCGGTCTTTGCTGGTCCCAGTCCCCGGTGTAGCGGCGGAGGGACGCGGCTCCTTTCTAGGCTAAGCTGCCCGATGCCTCTTGCGTTTGGAGCCGCAACAACAACGAGCAGATTGGCAGAGCGGCCCCAGAACCGTGCGGGGAGAGAGGGAGACTCGAGGCAGTTTTCCGTCCCCGGGATCTGAACCGAGAGCGCCGAGCTCTTTTAGATGGTGGCTTTTGGGACGCGGGAGACTGGGAGCTTGAGAGGTTGGCGAGTTAGGGAAGGGGAGAAGGAATTGGCGGGGAAGTGGGGGTTGGGTAGGGAACAGAAAATGGACAAGGGGAGCCTTCAGGTGAAAGACACAGAAGATGCGATTGGTTAAAGTGGGAAAGCCAGGCGGGTTTGATCAAATTGCAATTAGATGCAGTATTTTCAGTCCATTAAGTAGGGGTAGGGAGAGAAAGCAGATGGCTTAGCTACACAGATGAAAGTCTAAAATAGAAAGGTCAAGGCTTTGCCTTTCATCCCAGTTCTGGTTTTTATGGGCTTGAAATAGAAACGGTTTACAATTGCGTGGATTTCAAAACTGGAATTGTTTAGCAGAAGATGACCGACTGTTTAGCAAATGTCCAAAATCATTGATAAGCCCTGATAGTCTTTTGGCATGCTTCTCATAGTTGTAATGAAAGGTGTTACTCCCTGGCCTTTATAAAAGTTCTCTACTGCAAAATGCACTGCAATTAAGTTAAAACTCACTTGGATTTTCTCGGAAGCCTAAATTAAGAGATGATCCCAGAGAGTGTACTTTCTTTTTAGCAGACTTCTCATTAAATCGTTCTTACTGTGAAAGCCGAAACTTATCTATAGAAAATAAACATTGATCTGTCTGCTGTAGAAGTGGACAGTGTTGAGATCCCACATTTTATAAATATCTAAAATTAAATTTGGAAATACTATCTGATGACCAAAGTAATGCTTTCTGGGCTGTGTGAAAAATCAAATGTCGTGTAGTACCCCTACTCAGTTTAACAGTATCAAATTTTAGCATATTTTTGTAGTGTTCATTTAGAAAAGGACTTATGAAATGTCACTTTTAACATTATATGAAAACACGTTCAACTTCCTGTTCAAAATAAAATACAAAATGTTTACCAAAGTGAAAAAAAATTTTTCTCAGACTATTTCTATTTTGACAGTTTCTCTGATTACAAATACAGTGGCAGAATTAAACTTAACTAGGGAAGGTCCATTGAAAAAAGTCATTAGGATAGAAAAGCCATAAACATTTGCATTCAGTTTTTTTTTTTAGTGAAATCTTTATAAAGATCTTATAAGTTGATGGATGTTTTTCCATATGAAAGGAAAGCAAGATTAATTTAATATGGACATAAATTAGAAAAAAATATTCAGACATTGAAATGGCCATCTAATTGAGAACGGAAGTTTGGATTGAACGCGGGTAGCCACATGCAAGGCCAGCACCCTATTCGCTGGACTCCAGTCGTGGCCAGTATTGAACAAGGGCCAGAGACATAGTACAGTGTTCCGGTTTTGCCTTGCATGTGGCTGACTGGGGGTTCCATCCCTGGCATCCTTGGCATCCTCATATGGCCAGAAGTAACCTGGGTGTGACCCAAACACATGCTTATTACCAGTTTTAAGTTTCTCATGTTTTTTTCCTGTCAGTATATTAGAAATATAGAAAAATCCCATTGTGATAGCACACCGGGTAGGACGTTTGCCTTGCACGCGGCCGACCGGGCCAACCCGGGTTCGATTCTTCCGCCCCCTTGGAGAGCCTGGCAAGCTACCGAGAGTATCTTGCCCACACGGCAAAGCCTGGCAAGCTACCCGTGACATATTCAATATGCCAAATACAGTAACAAGTCTCACAATTGAGATGTTACTGGGCCCGCTCGAGAAAATCGATGAACAACAGGACAGTGACAGTGACAGACCAGAAAGTATTACCCCCCCCCCAAAAAAAAGGGTGCTTTTCTTCTTGATACTGCTTTAGTGTGTACATTAGTTGAAATTTTGCTGTAAAAAGGTAGTGAATGGGGCTCTTGCTTTGCATGCAGCTGACCCAGGTTTAATCCCCAGTTCTGCATATAGCCCCAAGCGTGCTAGGAGTGTTGATTGAGCACAGAGCCAGGAGCATTAAGCCCTGAGCACCCTGGGTTTGCCCACCACCACCCCAAAAAAGGGTAGTAAATATTTTGGATTTTTCAAAAGGGTTTATTTTGGTAAACTCCAGACTGGGTTGTGACAAATAGTTACACAGGTAAGTAAAGGATCAAGGATTTTTAAATGTAATTTTGTTTTGTTTTTGGGCTGAACCGGGCTGTGCTCAGGGTTTACTCCTGGACTCAATGCTCAGGGATCTCTCCTGGAAGTGCTTGGGGGAGGGGGGACTGTATGGAGATTGAACCTAGGTTGACTGCATGCAAGGCAAGTGCCCAACCCCATGCTGTCCCTAAGGATCAAGGCTTTAATGGACAAAATAACAATAGTAACTTAAAATATTTTCCATATTATATTTCAGATAAAGATTTTGCCTGCAGGCTTCAAGATGGGAAATATGTACTTAGGTTATCATCTCAACTAGTAATAACAACATGTAATATTTAAAACAAATAATTCGAGGGCCAGAGAGAGTCCAGTGGTAAAGGTACTTGCCTTATACATGCAGTCTCCAGTTTAATCTTTGCCACTGCATATGGTCCCTTGAGCAGAAAGCCTGGAATAAGACTGTTAGGTGTGACCCCCCCCCCCAAAAAAAAGAAAGAAAGAAAAAGAAAAAGAATCTGAAAATGACAAAGGTCTTTTTGCATAAGAAAGATCCCTGTTATGGGCTATTTGTACTTTTTTGGGGGGGAGGGTAAAAAGTAGACCCAGCCATGCTCAGAGCTTATCCTGATTCTTGGGGACCGTAGTGCAGGGGATCAGATCTGGGTCTGTTGCGTACAAGGCAAGTAAGTGCCTTACCCCTATCCTAGATCGCTGCATCTAGCTATAGTAATATATATGTATATAGTATATATACTATAGTATATTATATGCTATAGTATATATATGTATATATACCTGCTCCCCAGCTGCCCCCTCCTGATATATGTATATATGTATATGTGTGTATATATGTATATACATGTATATACACACACACACACACACACACATATATATATATATATATATATATTTGAATCACTGTGGGATGGGCTGCAGCGATAGCACAGCGGGTAGGGTTGTTTGCCTTGCATGTGGCTGACAGGGCTGACCGGAGTTCGATTCCTTAGCCCCTCTTGGAGAGCCCGGCAAGCTACTGAGAGTATCTCGCTTGCAAGGCAAAGCCTGGCAAGCTACCCGGAAGTGTTCGATATGCCAAACACAGTAACAAACAAGTCTCACAATGTTACTGGGCCCGCTTGAACAAATCCATGAACAAAGGGAGGACAGTGGTCAGTGGTCACTGTGGGATACATAGTTACAAAGTTAGAAAGTTGCTTATGATTGGGTTTCAGTAATAGTGTTTCAACACCAGTCCTTCACTAGTTCCTTCACTAGTGTATATTTTCCACCACCAATATTCCCAGTTTCTCTCTTCTCTCTCTCTCTCTCTGTCTCTCTGTCTGTCTCTGTGTTTGTCTCTGTCTTCTGTCTCCTTCTCTCTCTCCTCTCTCTCCTTCTGGTTTTATGGTTTGCAATACAGTACTGAAAGTTTATCATGTATATCCCATTACATTCAGTTCTTGTCCATAGTGATCATTTCCAACTATCATTGTCATAGTTATATATTTTTTAAAGGTCCAGCTAAGTAAAACCTTTCAGTTTATTAAACCTTAGAATCAATGATGAATTAACGCACTATTTTAGAATTATTGTTTCTGTTGTCAATAAAAATATCAATGTTACTGTACCTTCAACAGCTATTAGTTGTAAAATAATTTTTTAGTTTTTTATTTAGATAACTTGGTCCATAGAGATAGTACAGGGGTCTAGGTGCTTGTTTTACATACGGCTGGCCCTTATTCAGTCCCTTACATTGCATATCGTCATCTGAGCACCACCAGTAGTGATCCCAGAGCTTTTATTTCTAGGTGTGGACTAAAACCAAAAACAAAAACAAAAGAAACTTAAATATTAGCATGAGAGATTATTTTCTAATATTTTAAAATTGGGATTTCTGACTTTAAAAATCTTGTAATCCTAATGGGGGTTTCTGAAATTCTTTTAGAATGAGAGAATATACTTGACATGATGGAGGTGAAGTATTTTATATCTTTGAAATTTCTAATTGATCTTATAGCATATGTGAATATAGAATATAGGTTGCATAGATATCAACACAGTATACTTTATTTCTCTATATTATACTGAGGATAATCTATTTCAAAAGAAACAATTTTTGAAATCTTTACTAGAGCTATATGTCATTACATTTTTGGAGCATTTTCTTCATTTATTCATTAGTTTGGGTTGTACTTCCCTTGGGAGAAATAGATACCCCAGCATCCTGGCAAAGTTAAATAGTTCCAGATGGTTTCTGTAGTAATGAGGGTGGGTACTTTGCAAATGGCTTGGGAAAGAAAGTCATTGTTTAGAAGTAATAATTTAGTTACATTGAATTATGTGAATCTTTTATGACTTTGAGAAAGGTCAGGAAAGTATTAAACATTGTCTCACACTTTTTACA